AAAACGTTGAAGTTAGGTCGACACGCACTTAACATATATCATAAAGATTATAAACGTATTAACGGTTTTAGAAATATAAATATGGCACACGAGTCATACTCAATCGTATTACAACCAATCAAACTTAATGATATATACAAATATCACTATAGTAAATTACAACATGAATATTCAACAATGTGTTAAATAGGGAAGTGATGATGTAAACACACCAGCTGCTTGGTACAGATATAGAACATAGTGGATATTTACGACACACAACGAACTATAGACGATGCTCCATCCCAAATTTTGACACATTTTCTGAGTCTTTATTTTTGACTTGTAGGGGTTGAATTATATTTTGCCTCACATTATCTTCTAGAATTCTTCGCGATGGGTGTTGTGTGGATACCTCGGACCGTGATGGGTTGGTGCACGAATCTTACGCTCTTTACCTAGGAACAGTGAAGAGCAACGAGACGTTCAAGTATGAAGATGCTTTCATAAATGTGGTGTATGCCCACGCCGAGCGAATGCGGAAAGCTGTATTGTAGGTTTCAAGTGATAGTTTTGATGATATTGGCGTGCACATTCTTGAGCGGTTTTGAGTTTGTTTATCGTCGGTCCCTCGCAAACTATTTAATACTCTACTATCAGTAGGATATATTCTCTCCTCACAATACTGTGTTAATATACTGTACAGACTCCGTGATAATGTCGGAAATAAAAACCGCGGAGACGATATCTGTGCGTTACGCCCGGCTGTGATTATCAACGCAACATTGTGCCCGTGTACGTGAGAGGGGACTATAATGGAGAGTGGAAATGTACTGTAAGTAAAGATCAGTCGAAAGATTGCGATAGAGAGCCAGCCTAAAGGAACAGAAATGTACAACTCAGACATATGAAGTCCTCTCGTCTTGGCAAAACACTCGAAGAATTCAAATCTGGTCAGTTCAGCAGGTGAGAGTTATATTACCCCCGCTGCAATTTTATCACACATGCTCGTTTAGATATCACCTACCTCATATTGATAATACCTGTTATATTCTCCGTTCTCTCAACTACAGCGCCGCTGACCTCAAAACGAAGCTCGATGATCCGAATGACATTAAAAGGGGTCAAATGCAGAACTTCTTACTTTCCGGTAGGTTTCAAATCAATTATCATTTTATTGATGTTGGCGTTGTTACCGTGGTTTACAAATAGTAGTTATCGATTGCCTTTTATATATCTATAACCTACACTCAATTTGTTATTTCATATATGCAGGCCGCATGGACTCTTTGTCGACAATCATGTCAGAATATCCGCGGTTCCCAGAGTTCGTTCAAAAATGCTGTGAGGCAGATAGAAATGGAACATACATTCTCTCTTTAGTTAAATGTGATTATGTCCAACATAAAGATGCAGCGATGTTCAATTGCTCTTACTTCGCGCCATCCGCGTGCAAGCATTTTTGGCGATATTCTAGACATGTGAGCGTGCTGGACTGTACTTTTCTGAAAAATGATCTTCGAGGTAAGCCTCGCTGCTGTCTTGAATATTCTGCATTTTGTAGCTATTTTTTTTAAATCCGGTCTGGTATCATTCAAAAAAAATTATTTTCACCAATCACCATTGAAGGTGTTATCGCTGTGATGACTTGCAAGGATGCAAATAATCAAAATGTTCCATGCGCATGGAGTCAACTACCTACAGAAAAACACATTGGGTGGGACAGCTTCTGTAAGAGATTAAAGGTAGATTTCCCAGATTGTAAGATTGCTATCGCAGACAAAGATAAAGGTCTGATAAAAACAAAAGATAGTCACCAGTTCCCGATAGCCAGGTGTGTTGGATCGAATGCTAATCTCAGTTTGTCTCTATTGATAGACTTCTTTATTCTCTTTTATTTCCACGTTAAATACTAATATCAAAAAGGTAAATTGGCTACTTGCTATAATTTATGGGCTAGGTGCGAGAAACACTTTCGTGACAATGTAACGACACTAGCATCGAAAAAGTGTTTCCCGTATAATAAGGAAACTCTGGATGATATGTACCAGTCGGCAGTCACGCCAGTTGATGAGGAATTCAAGGTATACTTTTTTTCTGTATTTCTGTAGTGTAGTTATTTGTGAAATACTGATATGCGCAAAGCCCTGATAAGCTGAGAACAATTTATAAATTGTATTTGCTGGCACACACTTCAGCACTACATTAAAAAAATACAGAATCGAGGACACAAAGAAGTCGCCGGATCCTGCTGAAGCATAGAAAGGAACGCAATATCCGCACACACCTCTGCGGACCCTGGTGAGTTTGACACTATCGCAGCAGCAGTGGGTGGGTTGAATTATTTTATACTGTGGATATCGATCGTATTAATTTTATTTTTTAATCAATTCGTACACGTACTAGAAATCAATATTTGCAGGTTTGGCGATGTGACTTTCAATTCAGTAGAACAGACAAACGGCGTACTCGATCTGTTATGTAGCTTAGGACCGGTATGTTTGTGATACATTTCTGTGCTTGAATTGATATGTTTGTAATACATTTCTGCGCTTGAACTGATGCATTTATGATACATGTATAATTCATACTTCACATCGATTAACGCTTACTCATTACTAAGTGAGTTTCAACCGAGGATTCTTGGCGTACGTTGCTGATAAGTTCTGTCGTCGACAAGTTGAGTCTTCAAGCTTATACACACTCGGTCATCACTGACCGAACCCGCACTACAACACATACAATACATACGGGAGTTGACTGGTTCAAAGATCAAAGTACTGCTGACTAAAGGTATGTGTCATCTCTTAATGAGATAGTTATCTCATTAACAAACTCTGCATGGAACTACTACAGTTTCAAAGGACTGTGTCATGGCAACTGTTCAAGACTTGAGAGACGAACCCGTACGTGGTCGGTATTCAGTAACGTTGAAGTCTAATGGTAGGTCTAACGATCTTGTTTTGTTTTGCGTTGTCAAGCATATTAATAGCCAGCCACTACTGTAGGCAGAATTGACATTAATGAACGTTTTATTTCACACACTCTAGGTGTATCGGTTTGCACATGCTTGCGTCGAGTGATGACATTAGCATTGGACAACTCCCTGGGGTATGATAAATTCAAAGAAAAGTACAACCTACAAGATGAGAATTGGTAAGTCACTTGATTTTTCTGGTTTCACCTATTTTAAGTTTGAACGAAATTCCACTATATTTACTATATTTCCACCACTGTTGTAAATATTCAGGTACAGCCCTGTATTTCATGTCAAGACATACGTGACGCAGTATTCGGAGACACTTCAAATTCCAAATGAACTCGATATCGAGAGCAAATTATGTCAGGTATATCCTCCAAACAATCCTGGTCATCGAGGGCGTACAAAGGGTCAACGTGCCAGGAATCGACGTGAATACAAGCGCAAAGGAAATCCACGAATATGCAAAATATGTTCTGCGAAGTTTCACACTGCCAAGGCTTGTACATCGTCAGAACTCCGCAAATACTTGGCAAATCACAAAGTGACCGCTCTCATAAGTGTGTACCCTTTGCCGGAAAGTATTTACAATATACGTTAGGACTACAGAATAAAGAAGGAAATTAATTCGCATGTGAAAAACTTGTATATGAACTCTATCACGAGCTTATTCAACCCGCCCCTCAAAATTCACTATTTACTACCCTAAAATGAGGTGATTTCACTAATCACTACCCCTAAAAAATATGGTAGGGTTTGAGGATATATCTACTAAGTGATCGTCAAGAAAGCGTACTGCCGTAATCGTCGGGGTAGTGATTAGTGGAATCTACATACCCCAGGGGGTATGTTTAGTGAATCCCCCCTATATATATTCATATATATATATATATATATATATATA